CTCATAAGACCCGCCTCCGGGGCTCCCAGCCACTGCCAGTTCTGCACAGTCCTGGGCTTGGTCACCGCTGGGGCCAGCCTTGGGGCAAACATGGGGTGAGAAGGTTGCGGGGCTGGGGCTGCTTGGCTCTGCCCAGCACCCAGCAGCCCTACAGGTGCTTTGCAGCTGGCTGGCAAGGGTACAAATCCTCACGCACAAATCCTGCTCCAGGTGGCAATGCACAGAGGAGCCACCAGCTCCACGGGTCAAAGAGGTGCACCCCAGCTCCCTGCCTACATTTTCCTCAAGACCCTGGATTTCTGCCCCATATCCTGGGGCGAACGGAAGGGCACCAGCTCCTCAGGCAGTGTTTGCCAACAGGGAATTCAGTGAGTGTAGAGCAAACCTCATCGAGGAGCCCAGGGCTTGGCGTCCTGTCCCCCAGCGGGGTCAGCGTCGTCTGCCAGGGTTGCTCCTGCTGCTGTGCTGGCTCAGCCAGGCTGCACGCCACCAGGCAAATCAAACATTAACTGGACAGCTTGTTTGCAGGAGGCTGAAGCAGCACTTGGGGAAAGCAGCACCATAGTGCAAAGGGCACGTTCGGTGGTTTGGTTCCTGGGCTCTCCTTGCTGCTCTAACCAAGAGACTTCAATATCACGTGGCCTTGGAAGAGCAGGGCTCCCTGCCGAGCACATGGAGAAGGGTCAGATGCTGCTGGCTTTGCCAAGCGGGCCGCCAAAATGCAGCAGCTCAGATGCAGGAGTGAACCCTGGAGCTGGAATACCCTCTCGGCTGGCAGGGAGACATGCTCCGCTGCCCACAGTGAGCAACAAAATCCCAGCTCCCTCCAGGAATCATCACCCTTCACATTATAATCACCATGGCTGTGTACAGGGAGGCTGGGGGCACTATTTGGTGCAGAGAGGTCCTGGCCCAGCAACCTCCACCAGACTCCCAAACATCACATTCGCGGCCCATTTTACAGCTGGGGAACTGAGTCACAGCCGATACGGAGACATGCCCAAGGTCACCCTGCAAACCAGGTGCACAGCTAGGAATAAAGCCCACACCTCTTTAGTAAATCTGTATTTGCCAGTTGGGAGATAAGGAGAAGATATGCAGGCATGTGGTAGAGCTCAAGGGAAGACAGCAAGTGGCTTCCGCTTGTTTTCTAACAATGACACAGCTTCCACTTGCCAAGGGTTTGCATGTCTTGCCGCCATGGTAGGAACACAGCACTGGACCTCCCAGCGCACGGCTCTGCCAGAGGAAATGGGGAAGAGAAACTGCCCAGCTGCCTTGTTTGACTCCAGCCAAGGAGCAGTCAGTCAGTCCCAGCACCCCTCCCAAGAGCTGCTGCTGAGCGATGTCCCTACTGTCCCACAAAGGGGCCCACAGCCACCATGGGCCAGCACCGTCTCTGCATGCATGCAACACGGGGACAAGTGCATGAGCGACTGGCAAGCTCAGAACACATAACCCCACTTGAGTGCCAGCCCTACAGAGCTCCTCTTAAAAGGCCCCAGACAGATCCCAGTTCACCATCTCTCTCTTTATCTCTACTGGAATAAATATACCATAAAACCAGGGAGCTGTAGGCCAGCTCCTACATTTTCCATGCCCCGCTGCCATTGGTGACTTATTCCTGCTCTGCCTGCTGCCAGGCAGGTCCTCTGCCTGGATCCTGCAGGCAGAGGGATGGGAGAGCTCCTCTCAGCAGCTGCCTGATCCAGGCACTTTGCTTTAAAAGCTTTTTTCTGTTTTTTTTAAAGCACTCTGCCAGGGTTGAGCCATAAAAAGTGCACGAACCACTGGTGTGGGACAGATCTGACAAGCCTCTTTTGGATGCCCAACAGGATGGGCCAAGGACAGCACTTCAGGGAAATTTCTTCCCTGCTCTCAAAGGCTCCCCACAGCCACAAGGAAACCTCAGCCCAGGCACATTATGCCATGGCTCCATCAGGGACTCCTGTTCAAAGTTGAGAATCTCTGCTGGGAGAAAAGCACCAGCCACTTAGCACCAGGAACCGTTGACCTTCTCTCCATTGCACCCAAGCTACCCCAAACGACACCGGCTGGGGAAGGAGACCTCCCAGTATAACTGAGACAGCTGGCGCAGCCTGCTCTCCTTCCATTG